CGATTTAAATCGTTGTAACTATGATTTTTAGTTAGAATAATTAATTTAGGACAAAGAACGGGGTGAGTTTCAAACATAATCCTTTTATACTCAAACGTAAAACTAGGCATAATCATCGATTTCAACAACGAATTTATTGTGAACGAAAATGTTCCATTTTCATTTTGTTTGGTCATCCTTTTCGCGATATCTTCAGCCGGACCGTTATCTGTCACATCAGGATATCTTTCCCTTTTTAATCTATTTATAATCTCATCGTATTTATATTCACCATTACGTTTTACCCCGTTATTTATTTTTTCGAAATAATCTAAATGAGAAAATCTTATACTATTCATGTAAGTATAAGCATCTATTGGTATAACATACAAAGCGTCTAACATAATTAATTTAGAAACGGTTTTTGGGTATAATTGGGTAAACATTATACAGAGCGTTGCTCCGAAACTATGTCCTAATAAGACGTAGGATTCTCGTTTAAAATAATTCGTTATCACTTTTATTGGTAATAAGAAGTTTAGGTAATGAGTGGGTAACGATGAATCAAACCCGGATGAAAATCCGTGTCCTGGCAGATCGGCGCATACGTAATAATACATTTCTGGCATTTTTGGTATTAATCGATCGAAAGATCCTGCGTTATCCAAGTATCCATGAAGCACGATCACTATTTCATTTGATGGGTCGCCGTGACACTTTGCTGAAAGTAAAGAAAAAATGTTGTGGCAAATTTTGATTGAATTATTTTATTTTCTCTGCTTTTTATTTAACTTAATAATTGAAGCCTGTTTAAAGAAAATTTAGAAAAATGATCTGTACTTATCCATTTTGTAAACTCTTTCTAGAAAAAAAATATATGTACGTTATCTCTTTTCATGTAACACAAAATTCGTGCACAAAATTGTAAACATGTGGAAGCTAGCAAAGCACATTTTTGACACAAAAAGACTGAATTAAAACAATAATTGGGTTTGCTATGAAACTGTTTAAATCTTTAGCATATATATTTGAAAATATAATTGTGCTTAGCAATAACTTAAGTTAAGTGGACATTAAATGAAATATTGATTATGATAATAGAATCTGGACTTTTAATACGTCTGGCAAAGACACAAATAGATGAGGGACATTTATGAACAATAACGATAATTTTAGAGAGAATTTATGAACATCTTCAATAAAAGTAATGATGTGCTTAAAGATAGAAACACAATTTTAATCTAAATGCAGAGATCCCTGGAACATAAATGAAATATGGCACAGTACGAAAAAGTTATTGAAGTATTACTCAAAAATGAAAATAACTTTTTAAGTGGTAATATAGCTGAAGCCCAGATAACTTAGGAAACAGATACCAATAGCAAAGAAGAAATCAAAATTTGTGATTGCAATACAATAATATGCTTGTTACTAGTTTAGTACAATAAAATTGTTGAGAAAAGCTAAACAAACGGCTTATCATCCTGGCAGACGAAAAAAATAATGATAAAGTCTACAAATGTTTGCGGTACACACTACAAATGTTCTGGCCAAGAGTATTTTCAAATGACTATGGGAAATGACTGAGCAATCTAGTATAAACGAAGAAATAATAATGAATAAGAATGGAATCCTTTTAGGAACAAGACACGTGGAAGACCCAAAATGTCAATTCCACAAATGAGAAGTGTAGCGAGGCACCGTGGTGAGATTTCTATAACAGTCTATGATTCACTAGGATCGGCATTGATGACAAGGCAGTATTAGAAGTAGTATCACTAAAGTCTAAGTTGGTATTAATAAGTAAAAGTGATAAGGAGAAATTGTCTAAGGAATGTCTAAGCAGGGTTCAGAAAAAATAGAATCTCATACAGAAACGTAAGGAAAATCTAGACTAAACCCCAAAAATATTCAAAGTAGAAAGCAAGCAACTCAAAACTGTGGGCCTTCGTCATAAGAAAAAGATGAATAACCACGAAAAGTATTTGCAATAAGACTAAAAGAACCAAAACGAGGTACAACTAAGAAATCATTGTATCCGGCATATCTATCCGGTCATTATGGTTATAATTTCTGGTGCATTTCTGAAATGATACCCTATATTGCCACATAATTGCGATATTTGAATGAAAATAAAATTAATAAGAAAGCTGATAAGATATGTCAACTTATTTGGATCCAAGATACAAAATGAACTCTAAAAAGAGGATAATTTAATTAATAATTGGTGACATTTCCACAACGATCCTTCAAGAAATTAATTCTGTAACGAATTTTGAAAATTATCGATGAAAATTGCAACATCGAAAATTTTTATACCGGCTACAACTATAGATGATGCTGAAAAAATTCTAATTTATGATGTCTCAGGTGAAGTATTTGGGACACGCCAAACACAGTGAAAAAGGTTCAAAGCTTTTTGGGTCTGACCGGTTACTTCCAAAAATATATCCCAAATAATGCGTTGATAGCAAAACCTTTGCCAGATTTCTTAAAAGGCAGTCTTAACAAGCAGTTTCATTTTAGAATTGCAGAACGTACGGTTTTTGTGTGAAGAGCCCGTACTAAGAAGTTTTAATTATCATGATGAAATAGAGCTGCACGGTGACGCAAGCCATGACAGATTTGGGACGATATTATTAAAAAAAAAGTCGTGAAAATGGTTACCTGCATCCTGTCAAATATTGGAGCAGGACAACAAATGATGCAGAAAGAAAATATCATAGCTACGAATTGGAAGTAGCTATTGTGGAGGCTTTAAAGAGATTTCGTGTTTACTTACTTGGAGTACGATGTTTACGACAACTATGAACAAAAAAAATGTGCCGATGGGCTTTATTATTGGAAGAGTTTAAGTACATGATACAACATCGACCAGGTTCACGGATTAAACATTATGACGTATTAAGCAGAAACCCAATAACCATGATTATTCAAAACAATGCACTAATAGATACACAATGTAGAAAAGAAATCAAGGATATCTGAAGAAGTATTAAACATCACGAAAAAAATTGAGGTCCCATTTTTTTTCTGTTTATCATATTGCAATACCACAACTTTGTTGTATTTAGTTTTGTATAAATTACTGTCATGAATAGTTTCACTTAAAGTTTTCAGATAATGATAAGTGTGAGTGTTTTCTCATGTAGTTCTAGGTCTACTGTTAGTTCTAGTGATACTTATATTATTTACTCATTCATACAATACATTGGATATACGTTCAGTTTATTCATCACTTGAATATTCCAAACCTTCGCCCATTCTTTTACCACAAATCATGTTAAAGGTCATGTTGTGATGCAGATTTTGGCCAGAAAGATCGAAATGATTTTTTCCATTAACTAATGCACAGAAGGAAGCGTTTGTGGTGTAACAAACCTGCTTTGCTTGCTCGATAACAATCATACATTATTCAGCTACCTATTGGCATTAAAGAACTTATATAGTATGGTATAATATTTGAAACTCATGTGTTTAAATCAGTCCTCAGACTAGAATTGCAAAAACAAAGAATATTTAAAAGATGTTTGGTTCTAATAACATTAAGCACAAGGAACTTTTCAATGGTAATTGTATAACTCCGAAGCTTATGATTTGGAAATATTCTTTGGCCTGTAGCTTCTATGATGACAAATTCCATAATTTGGACCCATTAAATACTGTTTGCAAAACATTATTTGTTATGATTAAAATGATCGATATCTATCTGACACGTTATGCCAGATTGTAAATTAGGAAGATATATTATTACTACACCAAAGACTAAAAAATGTTTCAATTTAATTTTTCTAACTTAATTTTCAGGTTTTGAGAAATTTATCTGCTTAATTATTGCCCCAATATCAGGAAAAAAAAGTTAATGTGTGATTGAATATTTAAACTAATATTGTTTATACATTCCAATAATTGTATACAATTAACTTTAACAGATAAATTACAACAAATATTTGTTTGCAGAAAGAGCATAATGCATTGCCGTAATAAAACCCGTTTTTGAATTTATTCGTGTCAATAAGGCTTAATTAAATACTTGTGTTCTTAACGCTTAAATAATTATTTTATCAATTAACAAGTAAATTTTGTAAAGCTACAATAACAGTTGTGAAAAATTCTTGAAAATGTTTAACCTTTTAATAAAAAATTGTTTTTTAATTAGTTACGTTGTGCCAATTTAAAAGATAATAACGATTTCTTGCCAACTCAATGTTTTTTAAACTAAAAAAGTCGAAATAAATGGAATAACGAGCAAAAAATAAAACATAAAAATTTTTAATATTTAGATTTATTGAACATTAAAAATTCAGTAACAATTTCAGCAATTTCATCCGGATTTGTTTGATGAACATGGTGATCACCTTCGATACGTTTTATAATAAATCCAATTTGTTCAAAATATTTTCTTAATTTATAACTAAGATCGTTGTATTGATTATTTTTTGTTAATAATATTAAAACAGGACACTGAACAGGAACTCTTTTAAAAAATTCAACGTTGTATTCATCAGTTCCACATGGCATTAGAGGTAATCTTTTGTCATTAGTGATAACATATTTTCCTTCTTCATTCTTTATAACCATCCTATTAAATAAATCTTTGGTTGTTTCGTCGGTTAGCGTTGCAAATATCCTTAAATCACGAACTTTCTCGAAAGCTTCCTCATACGTATAAGTTTTTCTATCATTATTTGTGGTTAAATAATTTTCTTGGATCGCTTTAATATGTTCCATATAAAGCTTAATGCTAAATGATGCGTAATATATACTATCCAACGAAATTACTTTAGATACAAACTTTGGATATAATTGAGCGAAAAGTAAACCAAGTTGAGCACCAAAACTATGTCCCAAAAGAATATATTTTTCTTTTTTAAAATATTCAGCAACACTTTTATAAGCCATCAAATATTGCGTGTACTGAACCGGAAGAGATTCATTAAAATAACTTGAAAAGCCATGACCAGGTAAATCCACACAAGCGTAATGATACGAATTTGGTAATTTTGGAATTAATCGATCAAAAGATCCTGCATTATCCGTGTATCCATGGGTAACAATGATAGTTTCATATTCGATATCGTTCCACGATTTTACTATAAAAAGAAACTAATTAACTTAGTTTAATAAATCTTGTTAAAAGCTAATGTAAAAATAAAATAATTTATCATAATTTATTTTGTGTAGATATTAAAAATGACGAAACGAATCCTGATAATATTTCAGGATAATTAATATGAACATCGTGATTTCCATTAACAATTTCAATTTTAACTCCTTTCTTCGTTAAAAATCGACGTAAATCTAAATAAACCATATTTGTAGGAAATTGCGTCGATAAAATGATTAAAAATGGACATTTAATCGGTCGCTCTTTATACATTTCAATTACATGATCCTTTAAACCATCATGTCCAATAATTGATTTTCCTCTTTTATCATATTCAATGTAATATAAATCATTATCGCTTAAACGAAGCATCCTTGTCATTAAACTCTCAGCAGCTTTTTTATTTAAACCCCTAATTTTCATTAATTTAGTAGTCCACTCTTCAAAACTCAAACATTTCTTCGCGTTTTTATTAAGATTGACTTCATCCACCAACACAAATTGATTTAGTAAAATATTTGCATATTGTACAGGACTATAACTATACGGTCCAGCCATATCCAAAGTAACAAGTTTTTTCACTTTATCTGGATATATCATGGTATAAAGCATGGAAGATATTGCACCCATACTATGTCCGATTAAAACGTAATCGTTTTTTTCAAAATAATTAAACACTATTTTAATAACTAAAACAATATCTAGTACGTGTACAGGATGTGATTTCGGAAATGGAGGACTAAGACCGTGCCCTGGAAGATCTATGCTTATGTAAGTGTAATTACTCGGTAGTAATGGAATTAGACCGTCGAATCCACCCGCATTATCACCATTACCGTGTACTAAGATGACGTAATCATTTGAACAACCCCAAGATTTTGCTAGAAGACAAGAACAAACAACAGTTAGTCAAATATTAAACATTATGAAATTGATTGTAAAAAAATCGTAATGGGTTAATTTAATAATGATAATTTTTTTTAATATTTCACTAACTGTCTTTAACTGCTTTCCCCCACTTTGGAAAGAAAAGTCGATAAATATAAATGAAAATTGGATTAATACGAACAAGAAGATGTAAATGGTTGTTCAAAGAATTCGAGGAGAAACAGAAAATATTTGATATCATGATCTGATCATTTCATTCATTCTTGGAGTATTTGAAATAATATCAATTCTAGAAATAAAAACTAAAATCACGTTTTTGTCAAGAGTGTAGAAAAACTGGCGAGAAAATAAAGGTGATTATCGAAATGTGTTGCTCATAATTCCTGCGTGATCTGAATAAGGCGAAGATCTATACTAAATTACTTATTTAGAATAGACTTTGTTAATAGTTATGCTGATAATAATCTCCTTTTATTGATCCCAAACTGGGCAGAAGTGTAATGCAAATATTTTTTTGTATCTTGAGTTAAGTTGAGAAATAAGGAGGAAGATGTATTAAATTATCGGAGGAATGTGGGAAACACTATATCGTGATGGGATTACTATGAAGTTGTATTACCTACTTTCCGTAATGGAAAAGGATTTGAAGATTCCAAAGGTTGCCGAAGAAGAGTTAATAATTGAGTGATACTTGCATCGTTATTAAAGTGAGATGTGATTTTGTGGACAAGGATTTATGGCATTAACAGCTAAAGATAATTGTACAAATAATACTACTTGTATGGACCATTATTTTGGAGTATGGCAGAATGTGAGACCATAACTGTCGCACCCTCATCATAACCTATTACACGAGCTGAAGTAAAATTGCTTTGATTACCAGTGGTTAAGAAGTACGTTAAAAAAGTGGCAAGGTAATGCAGACATTCCACAAATTTTGTAAAATGGTGTCATTAAAAAACAATATCTTGATATCGCCATTGTCAAGGAAAATCTTGATCTAGATGATAAGACTCTTGACGGCTCTGGAATTCGGCACCCTACAAGGTTTGCCAATAAAACAAGAAGATTTCGTCAATAATTTCATTGAAAAATGTCCTCCATTAACATTTATACTTTCTTGCCTGAAAGTTTTGAATAATCCTTTATAGCATATTGGCAGGTATTGCTGCAATCTCATTACGAATGCATTGTTTGACAACGCATTTTTAGCCTTATCCTTGATAAAATACGAACAACGTATTCAAAATGTCACTCTTCTTCAACGTAGAGAGTTGTTTCATGAAGTAAATGAAAGTTTTTTCTCGCACAGTGTCTAAAGCTGTAATTCTAAGACTCTAATTCTGGGTGTGGTTGAAAAATGTTAAGCAAAGGTATTTGTTTTCTCTTCATGACGTCTTGCCCAGTAACCGTCACTTTTTCTAATAAGCCTATTAACCCTTCGGCGAGCGCGTCTCATAGATATCATAAAAATGAAAATGCGATAATAGAAAAATCTGCCCATTTGATAATGGACAAAGTAATTATTGCCAGGAACAATGACAAAAAAAGTGAAAAATTAAATATTTATTAACAACAAAACATTAATAATTTATTTTTGCATAATCGTGAAAAATTTTGGCAATTTTGGCAAGAAGTATCGCAAAGCACAGTCTTTTTCGAGTGATTTTTGCAAACAAATTGATGACATGTACTACAAGTAACTGTAGTTTTATTATTTTTATGGGCATTACAAAGTTGGCACCTGCCACTTCGATTTTGGCTCACTGCTAAGGGTACCTCTGGTATTTCTCGATATTGGGAATGAAATTCTACCAATTCTTTCGGAAGTGTTTGAATTTTGGATGTTCTTCTATAAGACCCAACCCTAGTTCATTTAAAAATTTCCCTCGCCTAGTCGCCGAATTTATTCCTGCAATATCTAGGATTTGAAAAAAAAATGCAAGAGGTCATCTTCTGGTAACTCTTTAAGTAGTATAAAACGCACACTTCTGGTCAACAGTATCTACACCACTTTTTCAACTTCACCTGTGTCGTCCATTGTAGAAAGTAAAATTACAGCTTTATTTTTTTTGGGTACATAGGAAACAATGGTGATATCTTCCTGAAAGCCAAATAGAGTAGTTCCCACAGTACACGATATATTTGGAAGAAACCATTTTCGAGAACATAAACAGCCAAAGGATAGCTAGTATAGTAATTATCGGTTGTTATATTTCGGTTAGAATTTCTTATCGATTTCACCAGGTTCTGCACTATGTTGAACGGTTTATTGGATGTCTTGTAAGGTCCATCGCGTTGTATTCCGCAATATATCGCGAATATCCAAGTATAAAAGATCTTGCTATCACACAGAGCATAAATTTTTATGCCATACTTTGCTGGTTTCTGTGGCATATATTGTACAAATCCGCATCTACCTCGAAATGAATGTAGCATCTCATCTATTGTAACAAATTCTTCCAAATTGTAACTATTCATGCAAGTCTTCACAAAATTATCATAAACATTTCTGATAGCGGCTAATTTATCAGTTTTTTCTCGATTCGTTCTAGTTCTTACATCGGCAAAACGTGAATCGCGAAGTCGAAACAAAAATCTGTTATAACTAAATGCAGCTCCCAGTCTTATCATTCCAATGCCAGCTTTGGAGAGTGCCATCCATGGATATTTACATGATTTCCTTTCTTTACTGCAATAATGAACAGTGCGGCAAGTTAGTTTACAATCTCTATCCCTTTGGTGGACAATTTGTGATCTTCTATTCTCAATATATATATTTGTGTAAGATACAATATTGTCAATCATATCCTTGGTTACAAACATAAAAATGGACTCTAAACAATTTGACACATTTTTTGCTAATCCTTTAGACCCAGGCATCACTTTGATGCCTTTGATTATTTCTATGTCTTTACCCACGTAAAACTGATACTGATAGTCTTCATTTTGTTTATGTGATAATTCCATGTATTCGTCGTCATCATTTGTAGATTGTTCGGATTCATTATTGTGATCGCCTTCCTGAATAATTTTATTCTCGCCTTCAGTTTCATCGTCAAGGTTGAATATCATATCATCGTCATATTTATAATACTACATGAAAATGGTAAAAGCAAAGTGTCGCTGTGCGCTCGCCAGAGGGTTAACAATTTGTTGGCATTTAAATGTATTTGTTAGGTTCCATATTGAGTAATTCCTTTCCTTATCATTAGAGAGATTACTAAGAAAATGGCTAATGTTTTCATTTTTGAAAACAGATAATTTTAATAATATTTTATTAAACAGGATATTTCAACTCTACTATCTCAAAAACTTCTTCCATAACTTAACCTTTTGCAAAAGACCGTTACGTTTGGTACAAAGTCTTGGAAAAGGATTTGGAGATTCCAAAGGTTGCCGAAGAAGAGTTAATAATTGAGTGATTCTTGCATCGTTATAGCAGAGAAAGTGAGACGTGATTTTGTGGACAAGGATTTATAGCATTAATATATGGCAGAATTAAACTCTGCGATTAAAACCCCGTTTCCTATTAATCGAAACGATCTCCTACGTTTTATGGCAAAATGCGTTAAGTACAAATCATGTGAGTTGACAATTCCACTACTGCATGAAAAAAAGGCACATCATTATGTGGCTTCAACAACAGAATATGAAACCACAATAGTCACGCCCTCATCATAACCTATTACACAAGTTGAAGTAAAATTGCTTTGATTACCAGACACACACACAGTTAAGAACTTACAGTTAAGAAGTACGTTAAAAAAAGTGGCAAGGTGTAACAACAGAAAATTCTGTCGAGACGCAATTAATGCAGACATTTCACAAATTTTGTAAAATGGTGTCATTAAAAAACAACATCTTGATATCGCCATTGTCAAGGAAAATCTTGATCTAGATGATAAGACTCTTGACGGTTCTGGAATTCGGCACCCTACAAGGTTTGCCAATAAAACGAGAAGATTTCGTGAATAACTTCATTGAAAAATGTCCTCCATTAACATTAATGCTTTCTTGCCTGAAAGTTTTGAATAATCCTTTATAGCATATTGGCAGGTATTGCTGCAATCTCATTGCGAACGCATTGTTTGAAAGCTGGGATTGTCCTAGATGGATCAGGAACTTTTAGTTTTAAGTTACCATAAGTTTCATTTATTCAAAAGTGGTCCAGTTGTGCTGTCAAAAAGTTCTGGATCATTTCAAGTTACCGCTTAGAATTATCAGACAACGCATTTTTAGCCTTATTCTTAAATTCTCTTAAATGAGTGTTTTTTCTCGCACAGTGTCTAAAGCTGTGTTTATAAACAGAACCAGATATATGTATATATCATCAAATCCCTTTTTTACCCAGAATTTGTAAGGGCTAATTCATTTTTCAAAATACATTTTATACTTAAACTAAGTCTTTATAAAATTTTTCCAATCTTTTCAATTTTGTGCGTTCTTCAATTCTTTGCTTTACTCCACGAATACTCTTTCCTCTTTAGTATCTTTGATATTGTATTGTCCCAAGTTTTCTTACATAGTAGTTTGCAGTTTTCGTTGTTCTATATATTCTTCAATTGGTCTGTTCTGATTTGTTCATTTTTCATTCTATCCCATTTTGTCACTCCCTTACTCTTTGTAGGTATTTCATTTCTGTTGCTCTAAACTTACTTTTATCTTTTGCTGATAACACCTGTAGTAAAAAATTCTTCGGATACCATATTTCTGCTTATTACACAATTTCGCATTACACATTTAATAATAACTCTCATTAATTTTAGGTTCACTTTCATTTTATGTAGTGTTTTCCCATACTTTTATTATTAACAAAACCAGAAGGGTAAAAATGCGCCTCATCGCTTAACCACAAAAGTTGACTTGATCGGCATTTGAATTTTGGCACAATCTCACAAAATTGGATAAGTTGTTGATTATCACCCGGATTAAGAGATACACAACTTATTTTTTAAGAGTAAAATCCAAGACATTGATGGAGAAATTTTCTCATAGAAGAACGTTCACATGGCTTGTCGAACAACTTCCTTTGTTGTGTAGTCGTGTTGTCCAAGTATAAGTACTTGCACTAAACTCCCGTCATTTGCATTTGTGTAGCTGTAATAGATACCCGAAAATCCAGAAAATTTTCTAGTAAAGAAACTGATTCAAAACATGTCTCATGGAGAAGCCATCAAGAAAACACAACAACCATCCAACCTTATCGCTGAAGAAGTATGTCAAAAGATTCAAGGTTCATGAATTTATGTTTCAATTAAGTTTGCTATTTCAATACCATAATGATGACAAGTTTTGTGGACAGTTTTCAAGAACATATTGTTAGTTAAGCCGAGGTCGCTTGTGAACGAGACGTATCAATATTATGTTATATTAATGGAAAGCTCGAGAGAGTCAAGGATGTATGTATGATTCTATTAAGTTGAGGTCGCTTGCTGCAGAAGGGGTGCAATTTATACCGTATCTAGCCAAAACTGTTTAACATATCCTGCATGAATGAAAACGATAATGTAGGATTTTGGTTTATTAAGTCAAAGACTGCAATTGAGACCACATTGATATTAAATTGACATTTTATCATCAGGAAAGTTTTTCAACACCTTTTCTTTCATGAACCTCAACATAAAATCGATTAATGAACCAAACTGGATGAAGACTTCCAAAATTCTGCATTATTTCCGAGAACTTGGCTAAAGTTTTATATCTTTATAGAAATAGGTAAAGTATGAGAAAAAAGCATCAACATTTCTCTTTCTACACTATGTAAACATTATTAAGCAAAAACTTTACTCTATAACTTATTTTCTTAAAAACTTCCTACATCATTATTATGTTTATACTGAATTTTGTGAAGTTGCAGTTTAAATTCGAAAATTTGTTAGAAAATTTAAAATCTAACAAATAATTTTATTGTAATAATAACAAAGATTAAAAATTTCCTGTTTCTCCGCAATACTACATAATAAAGACAATGACTCGACAATTTATCCCGTTATCGCAACTCGTTAAATAAATCAAAATTACATAAAATGTTTCGAATTCAAAAAATGCTAAATAAAGCTAAAAATTGATATTTTACCTGCAATATGTCCCCATGGTGCGGGTATACGAAGTTCTTCAATCTTCATTCTTTCTTAATTTAAACTTCAAACGTTCAAATAAAATATATGTTGTAGTGTAAAATTGATGTAGATATGCGTACCGTTACGATTGTATGAAATTTCTGATAAGAACCTACACGTTTCGTTACGTTTTGTAACTTCGTTATCTCTATATGAATTATTTTGCTGACTTAGCAATTTTTATTACCATAAAAATACGAGAACGGATTCTAATATTAACGTTAATTACAAAATAGAAAATCTAGCGTCTAATGGTTGTTGACCTTCACTTGGGCTATGTTTGGAATATAAATGTTGGTGACGTCATAGCAAATTAGGTTGCCTATTTGCAGGGAATAGTATTTTTGAAAAATCGTGCAATAAATTCTATTTTAACGCTCCCTCAGCGTCGTCCATCGCTTGAAAACGAGCGGATAAATTATTCTATATGGGTTTCATCAATTATCAATGTGTTGCATAACGCCCGGTAGTTTATTAACCAATTTTAATTAACTCTGCCCGTTGGTAATTAATTTTTCGTGTCGAATTGCGTTTTCGAAGCTTTGGATAAATTATATTTAAATATTCAGTTATTTGCAAAACCTCGACGAGTATTTATGATCACATTTTTATTTATTTATATTAAATATTATACAGAATGGAAATCGATGTATTCTTTATGCATGTCATTTTGAAACCATTAAAATGATTCTCTTTGATTCTTTTTATACATATTTTTATTTTTAAAAGTATCGCAACGTTACGTATTATTATTGCCGTTGTTGGTAATCTATCCCCATCGTGAGATTGTATTTATTACAAATGCCTCCTCGTATCATGCTATATATCTATATATACACCAAGTACAATTTTCCCCAAACTCCCACTCGGATTTACAGCCCCCTACGAAAACCCAGAAAACTCGGATATCCGTTTCTTCGAAATGCTTTCGACTTCTCTCCCTTTCCTCCATTCACGTGACCCCGACTGCCTTTATTTTCATTTTCGATCAGAGATATTTCCGCTAAAAAGTATTTTTATCAAAGAATATTTTTGTTTGGAAAGAAAATTTTCACCCAAAGAATAGTTACTCGTATTTGGTTATACAAAACAGATGATTTTTTCACAACAACAATAAAAAAAATAATAATAATAATAACACAGTTAACTCGCTAAATACAGTGTGTTAATTAATTATCGTACCAGACGTCATCACGCAACCAATATCACAGTATTGGTATTGCAATATGGGATTTGCGATATTTTTTGCATACTTGTAATGAAGACGTCGGGTATGATAATTAATTAACACACTGTAGTAGGTCCAAAAGAAAACCATATTAATGCATGGTAATAATAAACAATAACATTTTTATACAGTCTAAGAAATGAAAGATAATAGTTCTGGTAGGTCCTTTCGCTTCAATCTTTTAATAGTAGTTCGGAGCAACAGATTTGTTACAAGTCAGTTTGGATGAATTTGCAGCTTTTCCATGTAATTGCAACTTCGCTGGGCAATTACTTCTTTTACAGTAAAATTGAGATCTTGATGTAAGATGTAATTAGGTACGAACCAAGGTGCTATACATATTTGTCGAAGAATTTTAGACTGAAATCGCTGTAGCTGTAAAATGTATGGCAGTATATATCAGCAATTTATTGTCTAGGCTGAGTTGTGAGTTTCTATTCATCAGTACATTTTCCTGTATAATAATGCTGAAACGGATATCTGGCAACTATCCGGCATCCGAAAATTCGTATAAAATCCAGTTCTTGTAATATGAGTATGAAAATTTCCCAAAATGTTAATAAAAGTGTCCTCTTTCCAATGAACCAATCCGTTTTGAAAAATAACTTTTAGTTTTTGAGAAAACAATATTTGAAGTTTTGATAAAATTTTCGACGTTGCAATTTTCATCGATAATTCGCTATAAAATTAATTTCTTGAAGGATCCTTGTGGAAATATCACCAATTATTAATTAAAGTATTCTCTTTTTCATGCAACAAGCCGTTTTGAAAAATCAATTTCAGTTCTTGAGAAATAAATTTTTGAAATGAACGATAATTTTTTCGAATTTTGCAATTTTCGCCGATTAAGTTTTAAAAATTCGTATAAAATCCATTTCTTGGAATATGAGTATGAAAATTTCCTAAAGTGCTAATAAAAGTGCCCTCTTTCCAACTAACCAATCCGTTTTGAAAAATTACTTTTAGTTTTTGAGAAAACAATATTTGAAGTTTTGATAAAATTTTCGATGTTGTAATTTTCAGCGATAAGTTTCAAAATTCGATATAAAGTTCATTTCTTGAAGGATCCTTGTGGAAATATCACCAATTATTAATTAAAGTATTCTCTTTTTTATGAAAAAAACCGTTTTGAAATATCACTTTTAGTTCTTAAGAAATAAATTTTTGAAATAATCGACCATTTTTTCGAATTTATCAATTTTCGCCGATTAAGTTTTAAAAATTTGTATAAAATCCAGTTCTTGGAATATGAGTTTGAAAATTTCCCAAAGTGCTAATAAAAGTGTCCTCTTTCCAATAAACCACTCCGCTTTGAAAAATTACTTTTAGTTTTTGAGAAAACAATATTTGAAGCTTTGATAAAATTTTCGACATTACAATTTTCATCGCTAACTTGCAAAATCCGCTATAAAATTAATTTCTTGAAGGATCCTTGTGGAAATATCACAAATTATTAATTAAAGTATTCTCTTTTTAATGCAACAAATCGTTTTGAAAAATCACTTTCAGTTCATGAGAAAAAAATTTTTGAAATGAACGATAATTTTTTCGGATTTTGCAATTTTCGCCGATTAAGTTTTAAAAATTCGTATAAAATCCACTTCTTGGAATATGAGTATGAAAATTTCCCAAACTGTTAATAAAAGTGTCCTCTTTCCAATGAACCAATCCGTTTTGAAAAATTACTTTTAGTTTTTGAGAAAACAATATTTGAAATTTTGATAAAATTTTCGATGTTGCAATTTGCATCGATAACTTTCAAAATTCGATATAAAATTCATTTCTTGAAGGATCCTTGTGAAGATATCACCAATTATTAATTAAAGTATTCTCTTTTTCATGCGACAAGCCGTTTTGAAATATCTCTTTTAGTTCTTGACAAATAAACTTTTGAAATAATCGACCATTTTTTCGAATTTTTCAATTTTCGCTGATTAAGTTTTAAAAATTCGTATAAAATCCAGTTCTTGGAATATGAGTATGAAAATTTCCCAAAGTGTTAATAAAAGTGTCCTCTTTCCAATGAACCAACCCGTTTTGAAAAATAACTTTTAGTTTTTGAGAAAACAATATTTGAAGTTTTGATAAAATTTTCGATGTTGCAATTTTCATCGATAATTTTCAAAATTCGCTATAAAATTAATTTCTTGAAGGATCCTTGTGGAAATATCACCAATTATTAATTAAAGTATCCTCTTTTTAATGCAAAAAGCCGTTTTGAAAAATCACTTTTAGTTTTTGAGAAATAAATTTTTGAAATGATCGACAATTTTTTCGAATTTTGCAATTTTCGCTGATTAAGTTTTAAAAATTCGTATAAAATCCAGTTCTTGGAATATGAGTATGAAAATTTCCCAAAGTGTTAATAAAAGTGTCCTCTTTCCGATGAACCAACCCATTTTGAAAAATAACTTTTAGTTTTTGAGAAAACAATATATGAAGTTTTGATAAAATTTTCGACAGTGCAATTTTCATCGATAACTTGCAAAATTCGCTATAAAATTAATTTCTTGAAGGATCCTTGTGGAAATATCACTTATTTATTAATTAAGGTATTCTCTATTTAGAGCTGCTTCGTAAGTTAAATCAGCCTCAAAGAAGTTCATTTTGTATCTTAGATCTTTCTTATTAATTTCATTTTTATTCAAATATCGCAATAATGTGGGTATCACCTCAGAAATGCATTAAAAATTATAACCATAATGGCCGGATAGATATGCCGGATAACCGGATATCCGGCCGAAGGGATGCCGAATCCGTTCCCTCACTGAAATACAATCATAGTTGAAGCCGTTTAGTTAATTTTAATAATATTTTATTAAACGGGATATTTCAACTATACTATCTCAAAAACTTCTTCTATAACTTAACCTTTTGCAAAAGACCGTTACGGTTGGTACAAAGTCTGGGCACGCGACAGACGAGAAAATTTATTCATAGGTGCACAAGTTCAAACTTTAGTCGACTAACTTTTGAATTAACTTAGTTATTGTCGCTTGAAAAGTTTCCTAAGTAGAGACGATACAATTTTTAATTATAATTCTTTTAATTTAATTTCCGTTAAGAAAAAAATGTGTTAAATTGTAAGTTTTCATTGTACAGGTAAAACTTATTTGTTATAACCGTTGTTCAGAGAAAACTTAAACGAAACATTTAAAATTTAAGCGAACCAGTTATACGCGTCGTGAACACGAATCGACCCGGTGTTAACTTGTCAAATCTTTCGAAACCCAACTGCAATTTTAACCCCACCCAACGAACAAGAAGGTTTTTAATAGGAAATCTTTGTGCCATGAAAACCAAAGCACGTTGTTCAACATCGCGACCATGTAATAATAACAAAATTTTAATTAAGACTCTTCAAAAACTGAAGTAGCTCAATTTCCAGCAACCAAACTATTATGGTATTTACAATTTCCCTACTTTCTCTCTTGAACCGTTGCGTTATACCTCGATCACATTGTGGCATTAATTGCTTATGTAGGCAAACATGCGTGTGTTGAGCAGGTTTGCGGATTGTTGTGCAATCGATCCACAAATACTCACCACAAACACTTCACATACAGAAGATGTAGGGTTAGCAAGGATTTATAAGAGTACTCTATTATTCAAAATATAATGAATACAAAATTTCACGTTTAAATGTGATACTTTGCTTGAAAATTTGACTAAAATTTAGCTTGATAAAACTGTAACACAAAAATGAAATAAACAGCGCAAGAAGAAATTGAAATCTGGTGATGTCGTGATTATAAAAGACAACGTGATAGATCACAGAATCTGGCCCTTAGCCAGAATAACCGAGATTCTTTCTGTAGCCGGGTACTCTCAAATGCAGTATACATAATTTAATTCCTCGGCAAATGTCAAATGAACTGCAAAACGAACCTAAAATGAGAAAGATCGATTGCAACGTCCATACCATTCAATCCCTAAAGTTAAGATTCAAACCAACTCTTGGAGTCGAAATGACATTTACACTTTTGTTGAATAAACGACAAAGTATGTAAATGTCTTTGAATCACAAAAG